CCCCCATCTGGACTAAAATACCTGCATCTATGCGAACTTCCCACGATAGGATTCAAGTTTCCCGGATCCTGACGCACTGGCTGATCCTGTACGCATTAACGCGCGTAGCAGTCTCCGTAAAAAGTGCGGACAGCTAGTAGGATAGATGGATGGAGAAGGATAGACGGAGAATCGGTTTATGTTGCTCAGTTGTTTTTAGTGTCTCAAATATGTCACAGTTGGAGAATAGGTGAGACTTTTATTCAATCTCTGATTAGGTTGCATCAAAGACGGTATATTACAAAGCTCTTTGGGTTACATATATTGCTTATTTATATATATTCAGAGGTGTACTTGAATTTGTTGAGGGGGGCTAGCTATAAGAAACTTATAAGAAAATAAAATGAAGTGCTTTGTGCAAACTAAGAGAATGTGATAAAAAAGAATATTTATATCTATGCTTCCTAGATATCAATACATTTTAAATACTGTGGGACTCATCAAACTGTGGAATAGATGCATCAAGCTAAAGTAAACTCTACGTAACATTGAAAACTTTAATGATTTCAATAATAACCCCTCCCATTGAAGAGTTATCAAGAAGAAGAATAATGTTTTTGAATTTTTTTATACGTTAGCAGATAAAGGAATTGAGTCTTTGTAACAAACTCTGATTTTCATACTACCTATATTGTTTCCACCTGATGGTGTACACCTTTGATATTTCAAGCTTAGATTTTTTCATCTAACAGAATTGGGTTACAAAGATATAGAGATTAGAAAATCATAGTTTGTGACAAAGACTCAATTCCTTTGCTTTTTTCACACTGCGTAATAATAAATAAAAATAGTTACGATGTCAAAGGTTCAAGAAAGTTTAAGATTAAAATATCTTTTTATCAAAACTTCAAAGTACATGCGTAACATTTGTGTGTGCTTTCATCACAAATGGATTTAACGGTTATGTCAATATTCCAGAAAGCTGTGAATTTCGATCATAATTTGACCCATTAAAAATATTGTTGAATTTTAGACCAGCACACGTTTGATTTCAAATAGAAGAAACCGAATGCTGCCCATTCTGGTTAGTCCGGGGTGGTTAATGCATCTTCTCATGTGCCCCATTTGGTAATTTTGTTTGCGTATGTCTACTCACTACTGATGGGCTTTGTTTTGAGGTCCAAATAAAAAATTTAAACTTTAAGAGTTTAAAAGAATTTGAGTTATAGATGCATTACATTTTAAAAATTGCATGCTAGACAAGCTGGCACACGTGAACTATATCAGTCAAAATCCTTCAAAAACAGATCATATATAATAAACTTTTAAAATACATAGCCCAAGAAAAACGTACGATATAGCAAAAAAAAAACAGAAAATGTGCATTAAATGGGTTCTAAAGTTAATACTTACTAGACTTTTAATCAAGACCACTAGTTTACTGTAAACATTAGGGTTAAATCTCTAAAATATTAGGATTAAGTCCTTAAAATACGAAAATTAAGTCCCTAAAATATGAGGATTAAGTCTCTAACATATAAGAATTAATTTTCTAAAAATATGAGGATTAAGTTTCTAACATATCTGAGACTTTAACACTTTTCAAACGGCGCCATGACAAACTTCTGAAAGACAAACTCCTGAAAGACAAACTCCTGAAAGACAAACTTGGAGTTTGTCTTTCAGGAGTTTGTATTTTCAGGAGTTTGTCTTGTCAGGAGTTTGTCTTTCAGGAATTTGTCTTTCCGGAGTTTGTCTTTCAGGAGTTTGTCTTTCAGGAGTTTGTCATGGCACCTTTCAAACTAGAAAAAAACAGTATCTTCAATAGTATTGATCAGATAAGGGTTTCAAGGGTATCGCTATAAATCGGGAATTGCCATCTTTCCCTGGAGGGTCACTTGAAATTTTCTTCTCACACTACAGTATAGTGTCGGGAACAAAGGAGGATAGGATGGCGGAATATATACTTTTATATTATTTTATATATTTTATATATTATTATTTTGTTACAGTTTTGCATTAAAGTTCCCAAGTTTAAGAGGCGATTAGATGCATAAAAGCTTGAATAATTGAATTGCATGGTTGACTGTAAAACTGCAACCAAAAATGCATACCTCCCTCCCTTGATAAAGTTTTATGGATCTTATTTATTACATATTAGCTTAGGTTAAATTTGAAAAAAAAAATTGAAAAAAAATCGAATTCTTTCTGTATAAATTACCCCCCGGGTATCCATGGGTTTCCACTAAAAAGTTTCTGCCAATGTGGTCCATTCGTATGGCCAGCTTTAGCTAGCATATATAAGCGAAGAACTTTACCATATGGATTTCGTCCTTAACGAATTATACATTTTTTTTAAATTTTGGGTAATCGTCATGTATGACATTGTGCCTTCACATTGGTGCTTCTGCTTACCTATCACTTTTTGCTTACATCGTACATTTTAGCAATTAGGATCCGGATTCAAATAATTACAAAAATAATCATGTTTCTGCCAAACTGTTTTTGCCTCATGCTAAATTATTAGAAAATGTAGATTTATAATTTAAAAATGATAAATTATATGATTTGAAATGACTGTCATACGTGTATTATAGATAGATATTAACATTTGAAAAACATTCTTTGTCAAAAAAAGCACTATTTTTATATAATTTCAGTTTTTAGTTTTTTTGTTAGTTTTTTATTTAAGACACAAAGGTTTTTATTTTAAAATGTGACGTTTTTTTTATCAATTTAACATTCTTTCAAGTAAAACAGTAATCTTAGTTTAAACAATTAATTTATCAGCATGAATTATTTCTTAGTTTTAAAGGGACTGCATTTCCCGCAAACAACTGCCCTTTAAACCTTTATTTGACCAACAATAAGGAATATGTCATAATTTTCCCCTCTCGAAAGGGCATTTCTGTCAATTTCGTTCACTGTTTCTTTTGTAGAGAAAAGTATCAATTCTTCTGACAAATTTTAAAAGGATGCTTTTCTAAATTATAAATGAAACTTTCTATGGAAGGTCACATTACTACGGCACAGTCCCTTTAACTTTCCTTTAAAGCCTGGGTTAGAAGTTTTTAAGAAATAATTACTATTTGCTAAACCTTCATTACTATTAGTGACAGTAAAATGGATTCATATTATCTATAATTAAACTATTAGAGGTTATCTAGGACAGGGGCGTACATAGGATTTGAACTTCAGGGAAGGGGGGGGGCAAAGGCGCCAATTTTTTTTGGTCCTCAAAAAAGTTGGATTTATTTACTGGGATATTTAAAATTTTACCCCCCCCCCACAATCACACACCTATATACGACCCTAATCAGGAAAACTGTTTAATGACCTTCTCATGTTTAAACAATTATTATTTTCAAGTTTGTTTTGCCCCATATTTTTTTGGTGGGTGTGGGGACAGGGACGTTTAAAACATTTGCGAACAGGAGGGGGAGGGGGAAAAGGTGGATGAGATTACCTTTCCAGGGGGGTCTCGGCCCCCGATGGTGTTAAAAAAACACCCTTACTTATCTAAAGGGGGGGGAGTAGTTTCCCCCTCACTTGTATACGTACGCCTCTTAAAACAATTTTTAATTTGGAGTACCAGGCAGGTTTTTAGGCAGCTAGAGCCTAGAACAAAAGGACAGCAAGAGAAGAAAGTAATCCAAATGAATCATNCCCCCCTCTCTCCCTTCTGCTAAACCGGAAAAGGAACCAGGAATTGACATAATTCCACTTGTTGCACTTAAAGTCACATTAAAAGAATAAACCCGGGCTGTTTCCTGACCAAATATTGGTAATTATACAATAATATATATATACAACAATATATATAATTTACTGTATACACACTATTTTCTTGACAATAGGATTTATTTCGATTAACTTCACGACATTTTACACTTTGCTGAAAATTGAAAAAAAATATTCATAAGTTAATTAATCACCTAATTTTATGTTTAAAGATGAGCATTCAAAATCAGCTATTTGATGATTCAATATGGAGGATTCAACATCAGCTTATTTGATGATTCAATATGGAGGATTCAACATCAGCTGATTTGGTTATTGAAGATGGAGGATTTAAAATCAGCTGATTGAATTTTTCAAGATGGGGGATTCAAAATCTGATGTATGATAAAGCTTTTAATATTGTTAAAATGATAATAAAAGTTAACGTAGAAGCTAAAGATAGATAGGTATAAGTTAGAGGGAAACACCATATTTTTGTTTACAAAATAATTGGCCATTAGTTTTTGGGTGGAATATTTGTTTACGCTCCTACCAGGCACTGAAGTCTGAAGTACACTTTTTTGTAAATTAAGATTTGGGGGTTCCTAGTGTAACTTTCTTTGTGGTTTTGAAGAATTATAAAATCCTGAAATCAAAGGTTTAGCTACATATGGCGTTTTATACTTAAATTTGATTATACTTTATTTCAATAGAAATCCTTTCATTCAATAGACTGCCAATTAGTGTGAAAACTCAATGGTAAGTTGGTGAGCATTTCTTAATCAAGAGAGTTTTTCATATCTATTCATATTTTTATTAAGTTTATTATCTTATTTATTCTTAAGATTCCGCAGCCAAATATCTTTTTCTCAAAATAGATTAATCATCTGTTTTGAAACTTGGAAATCGTAAAGTAAGTTGATTATTTTTCAAGAGTCAAAAAACTTGCTTCATATGTAACAACTTGCCTCTATTTTTCTTTCCTTTTTTCGTTGTTTTTATTTTGTAATTTTGATTGCAATTATAATATTTGTTGGTTTTACCTCCCCTGAATCCCTTCTAATCTCTCAACTTGTAGCTTCCATGAATTGCACTAATTGGCCAAAAGTAATGCAAAAAGTTAAAGAAAAATTTATGTTTTGCAAAACTGTGATGCAATTCTGAAGAATTTAAATATTCTGAAAAAGAATGTGTTTTGGTTTAAAAGGGGTTTACATAAGCTGTGAACTGATGTTATGAAACCAAGTTTAGATTCTGCAAATTATTCAATGAACCAAATTATGAAAAATATTTTTAAAATGTTTATGATGACAACACAACCATTTACTCTTTTTTTTAAATATTTTGATAGGCATAATATAAATTATCTACAGCAAATAATAATTTTTCCTTTTACATATTTTAAATTATAAAAATTATTTTTTTCCCAGTTTTTTCCAGGTGGCTTAGTCGCTTTTGTTTGATTGAAAAAAATCCAACTGAAAGATGTACAGGGTTACCAACAAAGAACGAGACGTCAGAGTTGCCTTTTCAGAAAAATTTTACACTTTTTTCTCACTCTCATGATTCCCTATGAAGCTGTAATCTTGGTTTTTCCTTTGCAAACTAAACTTTTATGCGATTATATTTTATTCAAGAGAGGAAACTGATCCTCCAAACTGACTAATTTTAAGAGTTTCGGGTCGTCATTATAACGTCTCATTCTTTTCGGGTAATCCTGTCAGAAATATATTTGTATCAATTCCTCCTTTCTGCCCATTTTCCTCTCCTGCCCCCCCCCCCTCTTAGTCTTATTCCCGTAGGCTCTAGATTAAGATTAAGCTTAAAATATAGATTTTGTTGAAATAAATCCGGCTTATTTTTCATTATAAAAGAGACCGTCCACGTCATTTCAAGAGACATTATATTCTCGACTTATGAACCCTGTAAACCTTCGCCTCAAACTTTTTTTGTTGAATCGGGTAGGGTGGAGGACACTCAAACCGATGGCGGGTCGGTGTCTCAAAAAAATCAGAAATTATTAATAACTTTTCATTTATAAAACTACGGGGCTAAAATTTATATATTTGAAAAACCCTTGAAAAATGGATATAATAACATTTGTCCGACGTACTTTTTGAACTATTTTAAATCCTCCCTTGTCCCTATGCCGGGATAGGGTTAATGTGGTTTCTCTATAAAAAGTGCTTTGTTCGGATTTATATAAAGAAAATTAAGGAAACTTATTGCTTTTCCATATAGGAAAAAGAGAAGCTGTAAACAGTACCGTTGTGAATCAGACATTTTTTTGGGGGGGGGTCACAAGTAATTATGTAGATTGTCCCTTTAAGCTTGAGCGTATAAATAGTAAATACATCAAGTGGGTAATAATATATTTAGAGGTAGAACGCTAAAAGTTCCTGCAAATATAATTATTTCTGTATGTGCCAATATACATAAATTCCTAATATATGAAGAAGGAAGTGCAAAACACTAATTTCTTTATTGTGAAAAATATTAAAAAGTCAATTTTACTTATATCAAAATTATAATTTTCCATGCTTATGATATCTTGAAATTGGTAAAGTGATGCCTTTGGCTTGCAAAGCTTCTTATACTTAATTTACTTAAATGTCATAATTTGAGATAAAAAATGTTGCAAAGATATAAGAATTTTAAAAATAGAGTGTGTTCCCTCCAAATTATTTAGCCGGTCCTTATATAGACTGCAGACCCCTGATATGCAAATAATTCAAGTACAAGCATTTACCTTTAGGGCAAACCATTATCAAGGTTTACAGAAGCAACGAGTTGCGGCATTTTTTGTGTTGATTGCGCATTGATCTGTCAACAAGTAGTTTAGGGCTATATTTACTATTCTAACATCTGTCTCTTTACATTGTGATCCTTCAGAACTAAACAAATAGATGACTAAGAATATTTACATACATGATTATATTCAAAATATTTTTTAAACCATGAAAAATAATTCAATTAAGGAAAGACAAACTTTGTAAGTATTAGATTAAATCTATTAGGATAAGTTTAAAGTTTGTTGACATTAAAAATAAATCGATTTTGAAAATTATGAAATATCTTAGTCCAATTTATATTATAAAAAATTATCAGATCAGATATTCTAAATTTGAAATATTAAAAGTTTACACTTATCAGGTTGTAAAGATTTAGGGATTCCAAAATTTGGATTTGTGTTAAAGACTCGATAAACTTTTCAAGTATAGGTTTTCTCATTCTTTTAAAGAAATGTTCTAATAATCAAATCAACATCTTAGACATTCGACTCTCTGAAAAAAATCACTTCATTGTTTTTGCCCCGTTAATTTTCGTTTTTTCAACTCTATTGTGGATATTTTAATCGGAAATTATTAACTATAGATAAAAATGGACACGTGCAAAATATACCATCGTTTAAACTCAATGTAAATATGTGTATCTCATAAAATAGGCAATATGCATATTCACAATAAATGCATTTTATGTATTTACATGTTTAAGGCCAATTCAAAGCAGTTCTTGGAATTTAAAGGGAGTGTGTAAGCGTAATTTCAAGTGACCCTAGGGCCACTATAGTTTCAGTAGAAGTAAATATTTCCATTTACTGATAGCGCCGATTGAAGGATTCATAACTCTCATTGGATAATGAGATAGATGTTACCACCATACTATTTCTGTTGGATCAGAATAGACAACAAACACACGACTGAACCCTGATTGGATCAGGCGCTAATGTACTCGGCATACAGGAGTGGGCCATGTCCGATTTAATTAACAACGGTACCCTTAAAACCTTTATCTGATCAATAATGTAAAAGATGTTGTCGTTTTTCTTGAGGTTTAAAAGTGTTTATTTCTGATAATTCCAATAAGATTTTCCCCAGTAGAAATGTGAAAGTCAATTTTGTAGAGAATCCCCATGAATTGAAAAAAAACAATTTTCAAAATTATAAATATTCATACTTTCTTGCTTGATNAAAAATCCAGATTTTGGTACCAAGTGTTTTTTTTACTTAAGACTTCAAAAAAAGTGTCGAAATTAATGACTAAAGACTAAAAAACCAGATTTTTAACTTATCACACATTATAATTTATTAAGATAGAAATTTTTCCTGTTTTGCACTAGGTTTTCAATCCATTAAGTGCTATTGAGAAGCTATTCTGAAAAAAGGAACAAAGAAGTCCAAAAGTAGAATCAAAAACATCAAGATGCGAAGCGCATTTTTATTTTCTTCTGAAAAAAATCACAAATTTGACTTTTACTGATGATTCAACTATTCAATAAATATTATAATTCATTTAAATAATCATTAATCAAATAACTTAAAAAAGGGATACGCATACGATGTATAAAATTGGGAACATTTTTTGCCTCGAAATCTTAGGGGGGTGCGAAGGTCCTGCCGCCCCTCCCCGCTGTATCCGCCCCTGTAAAAATCCGTAAAAGATTAGATTTGTCTGACCATCACTGCGGTGCCTTTAAATTATTTTATCTAGTGCATTATATATAAGTCAATAATCCAAGAGAGAGAGAAAAGATTACAAATTCTTAGAAACTGAAAAATCTCATGGGACACCCAGTATTAATAATTTCATGGGACACCCAGTATTAATAATTTCATGGGACACCCTACATAAATCGAATATATCACTTTATTTATCTGAGACACCTTGTGCAAGCAGAACATAAATAAAACAGTAACTTCCGGTTGTATAATTGTGTATGAATGGTTCTAATGATTTGCAACAAAAATTTGAACTTTGTGGTTAGTTCGTCTATAGATATATCTTTATACACAGGGTTATCCATAATGAGTATGGGGGGACGAGAGGGGANTCCGAACCACCTCGTCCATTCAATATTATTTTTTTTAAGTGTCTAATCCTTCCAGATAAAACAATTTTTTTAAAATCGGGCTACGTTAGGGCATAAATGAAATATCAAATTTTTGTAAATCGAAAAAAAAATTTAATTAAATTAAAGATTTCCAGTTTAATGTCTTTAAAAATGTTCACCTTTTTTACGCGCATTTTCAGATATTCCTGGTGTAGAATGTCGCAAATAATTCCAAGTTTATAGAACTTCAATCTTTTTTGTTAATTATAGTGAAAACCATAGAATTTTTCCGGGTGGTTCCATGGGGAAAATTATAGGCAGAGGTATGCCGAATATTTTGCTATTTATTTTATATCACGAAGGTCACGGAGGCAGAAGAGATTGAAGTTTTACCTAAATAAAGTTTGACATCATTCTCATGGTTTTGAAGATTCCAACATGATATAAACATTGCAATATTTTAGTCCATCCATATGTTATTCCCTATAACGTGGCCAGATTTTTAAAAAATAGTTTTATCTTCAAGAATTGGAAACTTGTTAACACAAAATAATGGAAGGACGAGGATTCCGAGGTGGCTCGAACGAGAAAATGAGGAGAATGTGGTTTGGACGAGAAATTGTTGTGACTGGCCTTCCTCCCCTCGTGACGACATTGAAAGATTATGTTCAAATCATTATATAGAGAATGTATTAGGTCGGCATCAAAGTATTTATTCCCTTGTCTTAAAGCGATCCAAATTAGTTTGAAAAAATCTTTTAATCTCTTAATTTTCAGGCTGTTGTTGCTTCTGCTGTTGTTTGTTTGTCAGCTGAACCGGTTCCAGGCCAGGTCTCTAGTAGTGGAAGACGACGTTAATTCAGCAGCTGATAAACTTGAAGGTTCAAGACGAGATGCGCGCTACATTTTAATCCGAAGAAAACCAATCCCGTATAATTCGGATCCAATCCCTTACAACTCAAATTTTGTCTATCCTCCTGTGAACTTTCTTGCCAACGGCAAGCCGTCAAAAATAGTTGTAAACGGTATGGAGTATAATGGCGAGAGTGAAAAGAAGCCGACCTTAGCTGGAAATAAGGAAGACGACATTGTTTCGGTCAAACCCGCGGCACCCAGCAGACCTAACTCACCAATCACTTGGATTTCAGGCAGGGTTCAATATTATAAATTTTATTAAAAAACTTTTAAATCATTTTTTTCTTAAAGATTTTTAATCAGCTCAGATAAAAAGAGAAAAGAGAGTGAAAACGATATTTTAAAGGACAAATATCTTCCAATTTACGAATATTAATCTTACGCCAATCTAAATTAATTTAATTTCATTCTAGCTTTTGTTCACTCCCTTTTAATTTCTACCTAGCAATGCGTAGAACTAAAGTAAGGAATGTAAGGTTTGTCTAGTCATGGTATGACCAATGACGTATCAGGATCGACAACACGGTCGGGAATTGGTTTAAGCGTAAACAAACAAAAGATGCAGAGCGTCCCATACAAAATTAGATTATTTTTTAACTTTTACGCCAGAATACGCACAGAATACTGAAAAGACTCTTGTAAATTTTTCTTGAACATTTTATTTTACCCTGATACAATTTTTTACTAAAATTCATTCTTGCAAGATGTTGTGTCTATAAGTTCCAAAAATCTTGATTGTGATCTATGCACAATACAATTATTTTGATAATTCCTAGAGATCGGCGCGTTCGGGTTTTTTCTTCGTTTTTTCAAAAGTTTGTGAAAAAATCGTCCTTTCAGTAAAATAAAAGTTAAGTTTTTTTCAACATCGTTAGAACGATTTTCACTCTTTTTTTGTTCGTTTATAAAGAGCGGTAGTTTTTTATTTCTCTGATCCAAGTTGTTCGTCCGTCGTTCTTTTTTTTTCTGAACACCATCGTTCACAAAAACGATGTCCATCTCTACAATGATTTGTCATATTGTGCATTTTCTTTACAATGATGTCTCATTATTTGCTTTTTCTTTACAATGATGTCTCATTATTTTTGTTTTTCTTTACAATGATGTTTCGTAAATTGCTTTTTCTTTACAATGATGTCTCATTATTTGCTTTTTCTTTACGATGATGTCTCGTAAATTGCTTTTTCTTTACAATGATGTCTCATTATTTGCTTTTTCTTTACAATGATGTCTCGTAAATTGCTTTTTCTTTACAATGATGTCTCATTATTTGCTTTTTCTTTACGATGATGTCTCATTATGTTCTTTTTCTTTACAATGATGTCTCATTATTTGCTTTTTCTTTACAATGATGTCTCATTATTTGCTTTTTCTTTACAATAATGTCTCATTATTTGCCTTTTCTTTACAATGATGTCTCGTAAATTGCTTTTTCTTTATAATGATGTCTTATAACGTGCTTTTTCTTTACAATGATGTCTCATTATTTGCTTTTTCTTTACAATGATGTCTCATAATGTGTTTTGTCTTCACAATAATATTTCAAAATGTGCTTTTCCTTCACAATAATATATTTCTAAATGTGCTTTTTCTTCACAATAATATCACAAAATGTGCTTTTCCTTCACAATAAGATCTCTAAATGTGCTTTTCCTTTACAATAATATCTCAAAATGTGCTATTCCTCCACAATAATATCTCTAAATGTGCTTTTCCTTCACAATATTATCTCAAATGTGCTATTCCTCCACAATAATATCTCAAAATGTGCCTTTCCTTCACAATAATATCTCAAAATGTGATTTTTCTTTACAATAATATCTCAAAATGTTTTTTTTTTTCAACGATATCTCATAATGAACTCATGTTTTAAACAGGACGTTTCCCCTTTAACGGCCTACCTTCCAACATATATATACCTTCATACTTCCCAGCCCCTCCACCCCTCCAGCAAACCTACTCATCACCAATCACGTGGATAGGGTCGGGCTTTAATCAGATGGGGGCGGCCGTCGGAGGACTGAGATCGGTGCTCGCAAATAGCGCAATGCCCGCACACATTTATGTTGGATGAAGATTATTATTTGACAAATTAAAATGTATTTAATCAAAGGTTAACACCATCTATTTGCAAAGAAATTGAAAGCAATAGAAAATTGGAATTTGAGGTGAACAATCAATATCTTTTTCGTCGTACTATTAATTAATCATTAGTTGATATTTTTTGTAAAAACTGTTTTAGTATTAAAAATGATAAGATACGAATCAAAAGGCATTAAAACAAAATCTAGTCATTTGTAGTAAATTAGACAATTTTGTGATTTCTCTCTCTATTTTGTGATCTGAACAGAGGGGTCTGGAAAAAATGAGATTTAAAAGACGACAACACTCTACTGCGAATTTTAAGTAGTGGCTTTTTTGAGCACGTTTCTTCAATGCTGCAATTTGTTTTTTGTAAACATAAAAGTCTTTTTTTTCTGGGTTTCTCTGTTTTTATTCTTCATATATTATTTTTATTGTTTTTTGTCATTTATATCATATATAAATTTTCTGTTTTAAAAATGTTTGTTTTGTGCAAATCTTTATAATCTCAAATATATGTTAATATTTTGTAAAAATTTATTATTTATTCTTTTGATTTTCAGGAAAAGGAAACTCAAAATTTTTAAATTTGATCTTTGAAACCTGAATGGCGTAAACCATTTAAATTATTAATCCAACAGAACTTATAGTTAGCAATTTCTAAGGTCTCCGCCATTGGCTTGCAAAAATATTGGAATTAGAAAATTGTTGCAAAGACTTTTGGGCGCCACAAGGCCTTTTAATTTGATTTTTAATTTGAAAATCTTCCAGAGAAAATATGATAAGACAAAACAATTATCAATTGCAAATCTTTATAATCTCAAATATATGTTATTATTTTGTAAAAAAATCTATTTATTCTGTTGATTTTCAGGAAAAGGAAATGAGTCTTTGCCACAAACTCGAAATTTTTAAATTTTATCTTTGCAACCTGATGGCGAAAACCTTTTATATTCAAATTTCGATTATTAATCCAACAGAACGTATAGTTTGCAATTTCTAAGGTCTCCGCCATTGGGTTGCAAAAATATTGGAATTAGAAAATCGTTGCAAAGACTTTTGGGCGCCACAAGGCTCTTTGATTTTTAACATTGGATTTCCGAAAATCTTCCAGAGAAAATATGATAAGACAAAACAATTATCAATTACCCTCACTTTGGTCCTAGAATCTATAGATGACCCCAAGTATTGAGTTTGCTTTCCTAGATAAAATACCCTTAAAATACCTTTTATATCAATTATTTCTGTAAAAGTAAATTCAATCAACATATATATGAAGCATAAAGTCTGACTGCGTCAACCTTGTTGCACCGGCTAGTCTTGTTGATTTTCTTCTATATTAACCCAATGTCCATGCGGTACAGTACAAACTGGGACCGGAAAGGTTGTCCCGGATCGGAAATTCAAACGTATTACGGCTGCCCGTGAAGAACAAATCAATTATTACAATTAGTCATATTTTAATGATAATTTAATGGTAATTTAATGGTAATATGTAGAACACATCGTATACTTGTCAAATCGATAAAATCAAGTGTCCACAATCACGAAAACAAAAATGGATTAAAAAAAATATGAACTGTATATATGTGGATATATGCAAATTTTAAAAATCCATGTTATTCTGTGCTGTTTGACGCGGCGCTTTTCACATTGGAATTGCATGAGAATATATTCAAATTAATTTATTCATTCATAAATTGATCCGGCTGAATTTACAATTTTTATCATATAATGGAGTACAACAGGGATGGGGGGGG